AAGTTATAAAGAAATGTGAAAGCTCAAAGGAAAGGGCTCATACATTGAACCGTCGTGCTAGACAGTGCCTCTCCGCACTGAGTGGACCGTTCAACACGCCTGCTCCTCTCCTGTCCGGGAAGTGGATCCACATCCCCCCTTTTCTGGTCTTGTCTCTTGTGTGTGGCTGGTCAGTGTCTGTTGAATCACAACATTTGACAGTGGATAAGAGAAAATTCCAGCCCAAGATGAGAAGGAAATGTAATGGACCACTCTTCCAGTTACACACATACATTCATCCCTTGGTATCCATGGGCAACTGGTTCCAGAAACCCTCCTCCAGCCTCTGCACCAAAAGATGCCAACATCCACAGATGCTCAAGTCCCTGATATAAAACGGGATAGATGCATATAACCTACACACATCCTCCTGTGTACTTTAAATCATCTCTAGATTACTTATAATACCTAATACAATTTAAGTGTTCTATAAATAGTTATACTATATTGATTTCTTATTTGTATCATTATTATTATGTGAGACAGAGTCTCACTCTGTCTCCCAGGCTGGAGTGCAGTGGTGCAATCTCGGCTCACTGCAAACTCCACCTCCTGGGTTCAAGCGATTCTCCTGCCTCAGCCTCTCAAATTGCTGGGATTGCAAGTACGTGCCACCACACCTGGATAATTTTTGCATTTTTAGTACAGACGGGGTTTTGCCATGTTGGCCAGGCTGGTCTCAAACTCCTGACCTCAGGTAATCTGCCTGCCTTGGTCTCCAAAGTGCTGAGATTACAAGTGTGAGCCACTGTGCCTGGTCTATTTGTATTATTTTTTTATTTTGTACTGTAGCTTTTTTTTCCTAAATATTTTCAATCCATGGTTGCTTGGATCCACAGATGCAAAATCCATGGACGTGGAAGGCCAACTGTATGTGCAAAGCTTCTGAACAATACGCATTTCATTCAGAGAAACTTAGGGACGTCATGGATGGGAACATTGAATTGAGGAGTAAAAGAGACATCAACAGCCTGAAAATGGTCAGGCATCATTCAGAGTCTCAAAAATCAAAGGTTGAGAGGATCTGTGGGTGAACCCAACTTACACAGTGATTCTGGAAAAGATGGTTTCTGTGCCCTAAGAAGAAGTGACCACCTACAGGCAGTATTGGTTGGGAAGAATGTCATGTCAAAAGACCATCCCTTTCTTTTATAGTTTCCCTATGATGATGAGTCAGGAAACTATTGTGGATTTCCCTGAGGCATTTGAAGAAACTTGCAGGGTCATATTCTCATAGACAAGGTGGAATAATGTAAACTGGGGAATAATAACTTGGGCAAATTTATATTTGTTTATTTCTCTTATGTCTAATTTCTGTTTGGTGGATGTGAAACTGCGGATGAATGAACAATTGGGTGAATGACCAAAAGGGTCTCTTAGTAGGGTGGGTTTTATTGAACTCTATGTAGGAGGTTTCTGGTTTCTTGACCTTTTGCAATATCCTGAAAAGTGGGGGGAAAGGGTTCTGGGAGCCAGAGGAAGGAGTCTGGGGTTGAACTGATTGGAAGCTTGATACAGCGAGAGACGTGGAAAAATACATATTTCGGAGACACAGAAAATTGTCAAGAGACGTCAATGTCATAACCAGGAAAATGGTGCCAAGAAGGTGAACAAAACTGGGAAAAAATTAACTAGGACCGTATGAGGCATTATACTGGCATGCCGTAAAATAAAAATAAAATTAAATTAAAAACAAGACAATAAAATAGACAAGCTTCTTCTGTGCCCTAAGAATAGGAAGAAGTGACCACCTACAGGCAATATTGGTTGGGAAAGATGTCATGTCAAAAGACCATTCCTTTCTTTGACAGGTTTCCTATGATGATGAATCAGGAAACCATTGTGGTTAGCATCCCTAGGAGGTTGGAGTAGAGAGTGGTAGAGGTGAGACGCCTTCCCAACCTTGCTCACCTCCTGCTGGAGTTTCGAGGGCAGTTCTGGATCCCATTGTTTAACAGGGACACCAATAAGCTAGGATGTCTGAAAGCAGCCAGCCTGGAAAGGAGCAGTCTCAGGAACAACACAGTGCTTTCTGCAGATGCTGGAAAGGCTAGCACCGAACAGGAGAATCCTGTTTGTTCTGGGGTTACCCTGGGGAACAGGAGTGAACCTGGCAGTGGAAGCTGCAGGCCTCACCATTTTCCTCTCTGCTGCCATTGCTCTTGCCTTCAGCACTGCGTGGAGGGCGCATCCTACACTCCAGCTCTCCAGCCAGGTTCTCACCACCCACACTCCAGATTTGCTAGCAAACGCACCACATGCAGAATTTCCATTCCAAGACTCCTACTCTGTATCCTTCTTGCTTGGGCAACCCTCCTGCAACATGCTGGGACCACATGGAACTGCCAGCGCTTTGCTCCCATCACGATCCTCCCACCCATCAACACATCCTGGCTCCCCTTTCTCTTTGCCCAGGTTAGACTCCATGGTCTATCTTTACGATTGCCCTGAGACCACCTACACCTCCTCTGACGCTTTTGCCTCCTGCCTGGCCATACCCAAACCCTACTTCCACCTCCTCTGTTCCTGCACCCAGGTGGCTCAGGTTTACCCAGGCAAACCAGGTGGCCGAGCTGAGGCTGCCCTTTTCAATTTATGACAGAATCCTCCCATGCATTCTCAGCACGCATAGAAAATCCCATTTCATTTCCCTAGTAAGATCACTTTTTTTAAAGAAGAAACCTAAGCGTTCCCCTTCATTCTCTCTCAGTTGCGATGGCACTCATACTTATTTGACACAGTACAAAATCATAATAGGCAACTCACTCCTCTCCCTCCACTAAGTTGAAAGATTTACCTGCATTCCCACCAGTGGATCTCAAACAGGGAGCTGGGAGACTCCTCCCCAGGGACATTTGCAATGTCTGGAGAGCTTTTTGGTTGTTACAACTTGGGTTGGGGTAGGGTGCTGCTGGCATCTAGTGGATAGAGCCCAGGAACGCTGTTAAATACTCAATTATGCGAAGGGCAGCCCCTCACCTCAAAAAATCATCCAGCCAAAATGTCAGTAGTGCCAAGGTTGAGAAAGCCTAGTCTACACCCACCTTCTATCTGTCACTATCTGGCTGTACACATCAGGGAGAGACAAAGCCTAGCGATGTGTCTCAATTGGTTCTATTGGCATTTGGGGTAGGACAGTTCCTTGTGTAAGATCGTCCCTTGCATTGGAGGACATTTAGAATTCCTGGCCCCTGGTGGGGTGCAGTGACCCCTGCCTATAATCCCAGCACCTTGGGAGGCCAAGGTGGGTGAATCATCTGAGGTCAGGAGTTCAAGACCAGCCTGGCCAACATGGCAAAACTCCATCTCTACTAAAAATACAAAAATTAGCCAGGCGTGGTGGTGTGCTACTCTGACGCTGAGGCAGGAGAATCACTGGAACCCAGGGGTCGGAGGCTGCAGTGAGCCGAGATTGTGCCACTGCACTTAAGCCTGAGCAACAGAGCAAGACTCCATCTCAAAAGTTCTCCCAGTTGAGAACCATTATACGATGATGGTGATTTTATCATTCACAGGATTGGGTGGTCCAATCCATTTCCTTTTTGTGTGTGTGTGTGTGTGTGTTTGAGACAGGGTCTCACTGTGTCACCCGGGCTGGAGTGCAGTGGCATAATCATAGCTCACTGCAGCCTCAATCTCTTGGGCCCAAGTGATCCTCCTGCCTCAGCCTCCTGAACTAGGACTACGGGTGTGCACTACCTGCCCGGCCAATTTTTTCTAAATTATAAAAAATCAAAGTAAGGTCAAACAAATATTTTGATGTCGTTTGCTCAGTATGTTTACATATATATATTAGTATAACTTCCTAAATCTGCAAAGAACAAAATACATCCTTTCCTCTAACATTTTTCTTTACCACTGAACACAAACACATAAAAATAAAACAGACTTTTAAATATACTATCAAGATATAAAGTGTGTGGGCAGGTTATACGTATTTTTAGAAAAACGCATCCCTTGTGAAGCTCTTACAAAATCATAGCCCATAAAAATATGAGCGTAAAATAAATTGTAGCAAGAGGAGGATTACTTATCTCAGAGAAGTTTAACTATCCAGAAGGCAAACTTGATGTTTAATTGAAGATCATTTGAATACAAGAACACTGCTTTATTGTGTCCTTTATGACTCCCCAGGTCATGTAATCCACTCTGTTGCATACAAAGTGTGACTGATCATTCTCCCGATTCAGAAGACTTCTGGAACCCCGATACAATGGGGTCCATGCCTGTGGGCGTGAAACCCACCCCCTAAGAACAGAGCCTTTTAATATTTTGGTCCCTTGACTCCCTGGATTGAATCTTCACATACCATATTATTATCTGTTATAGGAAAAATAAAAATAAAAAGGTTAAAAATCGAGATCATCCTGGCCAACATGGTGAAACTCCATCTCTACTAAAAATACAAAAATACAAAAATTAGCTGGGCGTGGTGGCATGCACCTGTGGCCAGGCATGGTGGTGAGCGCCTGTAGTCCCAGCTACTTGGGAGGCTGAGGCAGGATAATCACTTGAACCCAGGAGGCAGAGGTTGCAGTGAGCCAAGATCACGCCACTGCGCTCCAGCCTGAGTGACAGAGCAAGACTCTGTCTCAAAAAAATAAATAAATAAATAAAAAGAAGAAGCCCCTGGCTGGGTATGCAAGCACTTCACCCAGCAGAGGCCACCTGTTGAGTGCTGGGTGGGCACCAGGGCATCCTTGATGAGTGAGTGCAGTCAGGGTCCAGAGGGCAGACATCAGGACTGCTCCTGCCACTCTCCACCATGGTCCTCGGGCAGGTAGGACATCCCTCTGGGCTCCCCAGGTGGCCACTATGAGAGCATGGATCAGGTTTTTCTGGTCCTACTCTTGAAACTTGAATCCTCTTGGTTTACAAGCTGCCCATCCTCACAGGGCATGGGTGGCCAACTCTAAAGTCAGGGGAAAAGGGGAGAAATACCCAACAGAATGTCCACTGGCCTGAAGGAGAGCTGCAATCAGCACAGTCCACGTCCATCAGCTCCGAGGGTCACCCACACCAGTGAAACACAAGGAAAATAAGTAAGCTCACTCAAGTTGCAGGAGGTAGAGAGCCCAATGGAGCACCCCACGATGCTTCTTTACAGCCTTTATGAAAAATAGTTCATTGATCGCTACTAATACATCTAACATTAGGTGGGCATGTCTCCACCACGTCTAAGAACAGAGACAAACAGAGCTCCAGAAACATGAAGCCCTGTAATTAGTGAGCAATCTTTCAGTTGAAAGAAATAGAAAAGTAAGCTCATATGGACTTAAAGAACTGAGAAATTTTACAGTTCACTAACTGAAAAATTCAGAGGTAGGCTTTTCTTAGGGGCTAAACAATGTCAACCAAATGAGGCTTTTTCCCGCTCCCTCTCTCCTGTGGTATCTGTTTCATGTTTAGAGTGGCTCCATTGTAATCCACTGTGGCTGCCCTCCAGGTACAGATGCTCCTCTGTGTATGTCCAACAAAAGTGAGCATCTCTCCAGGTGGACTCCGAAGAAAGTTGGGAGGGTTTCCACCCCAGAAGTCCTCAGCAAGTAGCTCCTTGAGCTTTTGTGACCAAACTTGCTGTTGTGCCAGTCCCTGAATCCATCATTACAGCCAGGGATTGGAATTTGCTGGTTGGTTTAGGCAATCCAGGTTCTCAGGGCCTGGGGATGGATGGACTAAGGTTTCTGAAGCTGTATGTGAAAGGGAAGTAGATGCCTAAACAAAAGATTAGATGCAGCCAGGCATGGTGGCTCATGCCTATAATCCCAGCACTTTGGGAGGCTGAGGTGGATGGATCACAGGTCAGGAGTTCAAGACCAGCCTGACCAACACAGTAGGGTAAAACTACAAAAATTAGCCAGGCATGGTGGTGGGCGCCTATAATCCCAGCTACTCAGGAGGCTGAGGTAGGAGAATTGCTTGAACCCGGGAGGCAGAGGTTGCAGTGAGCTGAGATCACACCACTGTACTCCAGCCACTCCAGCCTGGGTGACAGAGCGAGACTCTGTCTCAAAAAAAAAAAAAAAAGGATGAGATCTGTTACCCAGAGGAAGGGCAATACCTACTACAGCCCCTTTTAACCAAAGTAGCCTCTGATCAATCGACAGCATGCATCAGGGTCCTCTCTACTAGCTGGTATTGCATTTCCTGGCCATTTCAGGGGCGCAGCTGCCGGTAACCACATTTGTGTTGCACTCCTGTGACTAAGGGAGGGGCTGCCATCCAACTTCCTTTAGACGCTGTATTCATTTCCTATAGCTGATGTAAAAACTTACCACAACTTACTGGCTTAAAATAACCCAGATTTATCATGTTATTGTTCTGGAGGTCAGAAGTCCAAAAGAGGTCTCACCAGGTTAACATCAAGGTGTTGGCAGGACTCTGTCCTTTTTGGAAGTTCTGGGTCAGAGTCTTGTTTCCTTGCCTTTCTCAGCTTTGAAAAGCTGCCGGCACCCCGGGGTTCATGCCCCTTCCATATTCAAAGGCAGCTGCAGCCAGGAGGGTCTTCCTTAGTCAAATCACTTCGAGGCTTTCCACATAATGATCTTTTGATTGCCTTGGGCTCAGCCAAATCATTCAGCTGATTAGCAACCGACTTACAGGAAACATACTCACTGTTCCAAATATTAGGATGTGGACATCTTCGGGGGGCCATTAGCTTGTCTACCACATGTGTAAGAAAGTGACACAGAGTTTAGCTGGGTTTTCCACTGTGTAAATGCAAAGTTTTCTATTTACCTTTAAAAATATATAATCTCCTTTCTATTTCTATGTAATAACCCACAGTAGAGAAGCAAAAATGCTCCCTATGTAAATGTACTGTGTTATTATTCTATAATGACTTACATCTGAGGGCTAATTCCATTGCTTTCATCACAACAATTTTATGAAGAAATTAGCTTTAATAGTGAACAAATAAATTGGGTGCAACTAATGACAGCCTCATTCAGCCACAAATTCTAAATATTTCTCATATATGTGAATTCAGTTTCTTCTTACTATTTTCACTTCTTTTCTCCTTTGCAACTCAGTTATTTTTACAAAGATACAGCCGGGCGCGGTGGCTCAAGTCTGTAATCCCAGCACTTTGGGAGGCCGAGGCGGGTGGATCATAATAAGGTCAAGAGATCGAGACCATCCTGGTCAACATGGTGAAACCCCGTCTCTACTAAAAATACAAAAAATTAGCTGGGCATGGTGGTGCGTGCCTGTAATCCCAGCTACTCAGGAGGCTGAGGCAGGAGAATTGCCTGAACCCAGGAGGCGGACGTTGCGGTGAGCCGAGATCGCGCCATTGCACTCCAGCCTGGGTAACATGAGTGAAACTCCGTCGCAAAAAAAAAAAAAAAGATACAGATGTGGCTTTTGTTATGCAGGTTACATCCTATCATTCTTTCATCTTAACTCACAAGAAACATTTACAATTTAACAACCACATTTTTTGCAGTATTAAAAATACCACAGATTATAATTTTCTTTCTTTTATTTTTTTTTCTGAGACTGAGTCTCGCTCTATTGCCCAGGCTGGAGTGCAGTGGCGCAATCTCGACTTGCTGCAACCTCCATCTCCCAGGTTCAAGCTATTCTCGTGTCTCAGGCTTCTGAGTATCTGGGGTTACAGGTGCCCCCCACCACGCCGAGCTAATTTTTGTGTTTTTAGTAGAGACAGGGCTTCACTATGTTGGCCAGGCTGGCCTTGAACTCCTGACCTCTGGTGATCTGCCTGCCTCAGCCTCCCAGAGTGCTGGGATTACAGGCGTGAGCCACCACACCCAGCCTCTTTCTTCTTTTAATGGAACTGCACAGCACATATTTTTCTTGATAACCAAAATGAGTCACTGAAGCAAGTGTCAATAGATTGAGATTTATTAAGCCAACCTCAGGGCATGTCCCGGAACACACAAGCCACAGACCTATTTGTGGCAATTTTCCTAAACAGGTTTTCAGGAGGTTTACTATTTGTACATTTTCTTCAAGGGGAGAAAGGCATGTAGGAAGAGGCAGGTAGGTGGTAAGGCAATGGTTATATCTTTGCGAGACTTTAGTTAGTGCCCAGTAAGTCAACACTTTGCATAAGATAAAGTGAATGTTTGAAAGAAAAAAGGGAGTAAAGGAAGGATTAATTATGCAGATGTCTCTGGGCAAGTGGAGGAATGATTGATCCAGTCTTGTCTTTGTTCTGCACCTGGGAAGAAAAGCTTGCAATTGACATTATCAGTGTAGAATCAGACTTAGTTTCAGGAGCTAGACTTAGATTGCAGACCTAAAGTTAAAATTGGCATGTCCTTGTTTATGAGAGGCCAGCAAAAAATTTACTTATGAATGGTCTGTGGGGGCAGTCATTTGGAGATCCCTGAGGCCTTTTACCTTTTCTCAGGGAGCCTGGGTGATGCATAATGCTGGTAACAGCAATTCATTTGGAAGGGGGGTTGCATGACTCAACCTCTAGGCTTAACCTTCCCTTTGGTATAAGGAGTTTGAGGGTCCACAGATGTGTTTTTTTGTTGTTGTTTGTTTGTTTTGAGACAGAGTCTCACTGTGTCCCCCAGGCTGGAGTGCAATGGCGCGATCTTGGCTCAGTGCAACCTCTGTCTCCCAGGTTCAAGCGATTCTCCTGCCTCAGCCTCCTGAGTAGCTGGGATTACAGGCACATGCCAACACATCCGGCTAATTTTTTTTTTTTTCTTTTAGTAGAGATGGGGTTTCACCATGTTGGTTAGGCTGGTCTCAAACGCTTGACCTCTTGATCCACCCGCCTCAGCCTCCCAAAGTGCTGGGATTACAGGTGTGAGCAGGCCAGGAGAGAGTCCACTCCTAACCCCACCAGAAATGTCAGGTAACCATCAGGTGATGGCCAGGTGGTTGTTAACTGTCTCTCTAAAATAACAATTAGTCACAGCCAGCTCCAGGGAAAGGCTGTCTCCCAATAGATAGAAAAAGCCTGAAGATGGTGAACAGCAGTATCTCAGGAGTTGGGTGAGGGGCCTCACACATGTGTGCTAAGAGGCAAATGGCAGAGTTTAACTGGTATAAGTTAGACTGGTATAAGTCTTCCTTATAGGAAGACTTGACTGGTAAGGGAAGAACACCTCAAGTGAGCATGTGTGCAGCTCCCATAAATGAACTATGCATGCTCCCCTCCCAAGAGCTGGCAGACCACTGCACATGCAGATGGCCCACCCCAGTGGAAGACTCAGGGAGAAGGGATGCAAGACCCCACAAGTGTGCCAACATATAAAACCCTAAGTTAAAAGTCAAACCATGCACTTGGTCTCTCAAGCTGCCTGTTTGACCCCCTTCCAAGTGTACTTTACTTCCTTTCATTCCTGCCCTAAAACTTTGTAATAAACTCTCACTCCTGCTCTAAAATTTGCCTCAGTTCTCCCTCTGCCTTATGCCCCACTCTGTTGAATTCTTTCTTTTGAGGAGGTAAGAACTGAGGCTGCTGCAGACCCATAAGGATTCACTGCCTGTAACATTTTTACTTATATCTTTATCATGGACATCTATAGTTCTACCTCATCGATTTTAAAGGCTGTATGTTATAGTATTGATAAAACTTGATTTGTATTTCCCCACTGCTAAGCATTTTGGTTACTTCCATTTTTGCCATCATAAATGATTCTATAACAAACATCCTTGCAACAGGCTCTTTTTTCCCCCATGTTGTAGTATATTTTTTTTTTAACCCCCAAGGCAAGCTTTTGAGAAAATGTCCCAGCAAGATATTTAAAAGTTTATAATCAGATAATGGGATAAAGAATCCATAAACCTTGGGAACTGATTGGATCTGGGACATAGAGGAGAAGTCAAGTCTGGGATATACCCAGATATAAGGAACCAGATGGGGTCAGGCTCGGTGGCTCACGCCTGTAATCCCAGCACTTTGGGAGGCCAAGGCAGGTGGATCACCTGAAGTCAGGAATTCGAGACCAGCCTGACCAACATGGTGAAACCTTGTCTCTTAAAAATACAAAAATTAGTTGGGTGTGGTAGCGTGCTCCTGTAATCCCAGCTTCTTGGGAGGCCAAGGCAGGAGAATTGCTTGAACCTGGGAGGTGGAGTTTGCAATAAGCCAAGATTGTGCCATTGCACTCTAACCTGGGCAACAGAGAGAGACTCCATCTCAAAAAGAAAAGGAAAAGTTTCCTTCCCCATATCCTCACTGCCAAGTGACCTTTACAATGGGGACAAGTCTTAGGATAATCCTGTTACCACAGAAACATTTCTTAGCAAGCAGTGACTAATATGATCACACTACTGTTCTTATTTCTCATACACTTCTTGCTGATTAAGGAAACCGCCAGTGCAGGTTCTGATGGCAAATATTTGAAACCCCTTATTCCAGTCACTGTGGGATCCAGACAGATGCATGTACTACTCCAGAGATGCCATTCATATTACACAGACATCCAACACCTCCCAAAGTTTTCTTGTGTTCATTTGCTTTGTTTTGTTTCTGCAGCTTAAAAAAAAAAACAAACCACCTAACGTGAGATCTACCCTCTTAGTAAATTTTTATGTGCACAATATCATTTTGTGAACTCTTATGCTGGATAGCAGATCTCTAGAACTAATTCATAGCAGAATTGAGACATCCTTCCCTTTATAATAACTCCCCATTTTGATATGGATGGGAGGCAAAAGGGCAGGGTCCCTGGCAAGGGCTCCACCCTTAAGCCTGGACACGCAGCCCTAAATGAAAACAGGCATTCCTGTTTTTGTGCCTGAATGTTGCTTTTTGGTCTGCCCCACCTCCACATCCTGTGCTTATATAAACCATGGACCTTAGCTGGGATTGGGAAGAGCAGCTGAACTTCTAGAGAAGAAGTAACTGATAGTTGGAGACTATGGATAGACATGGCTTAACTTCAGATGACAAGACTTTGGAGAGGAGCCTGGCTGGAGATGGGCAGGCCTCAGGGAAAGATCACCTTCCTGCACCAGCCCCTTTCCAGCTCTTCTTCCTCTGAGAGCCACTTCCACTGCTTCATAAAACCTCTGCACTCACCATCCTCTAAGTCTGCATGGCCTGATTCTTCCTGGATGCCGGACAAGAACCCAGGTACCAAGAGGACAGGGTATACAACACCCTGACTCTCCACCATGCTGGTTAACACTTAGCCATCCCCGGCAACCGCTAAAAGTGCACTGTTTGTAACACATGCCCTCTGGGGCTCCAGAGTTTGCAGGCAACTGTTAGATGCCACCACAGGCTGGTACGAGGTTCATTCCTACCAGTGCCTACAGGCACTTGCCCCAGCTCCTGCACCTGCTCACCTGTGTACTCCCCCTCCTCTAAGGGTTTGAGCTCAGCAAAACAAGCCACCCCTACCTGCCAAACCACAGCCTACCCTGCTGTCGCAAGTCTCTGGAGGAGATCAGGGAACTTTCCCACCTGAATTTCCTCCACCCTCAAATGTGCACTTTTGGCTAGCATACTTCAGATGTTATCTCACTGCCCCGGAACCAAACTGATAGCTCACCTACACAAGCGCACCTATTACACAGCCTCTGCCTGAGTATTTTAAAGTAACTCTCTGTAACATAACCTGAATGATATAACCAGGAATGTGACTATTTTAAATTTTATAAAATCCTTAGAATTGCAGCTGATGTCCTATTCTTCTTCTAATACACAAAAAATGTTTTTCACATGCAGAAAAAACATCGTTGACCCGGAGGATCCCCGATGTGTCCGGTTAACACTCACCGGCCAGATGATTGCAGTGTCTCCAGGAGAAGTAGAATTTGCCAAGCAAGCCATGTTTTCAAGGTGTGTAGATGCTTTAACATTGATTTGCCCAGAAATACACAATAACAATAAGCCAAGGTCAGGCTACGCCATTTGATGCCTCTGATGCAGTGACAATGATTGGTCTGCACTGCCCTTTGGTGGTAACAGGGCCAGGCTCAGCCTGGCTGTGGAGATCACTAGCAGTGGCCACAGAAGCAGGCGAATGCCTCTGGAGAGCACACCACTGAGCTATTCCAGGCACAATCGCTACCTACTTCCAACCTTTGACAATTCCCTGCCTTGCCGTGAAAATAGCTGAGTCGTCGCCAACACAACAAACATTTTCAAGCATCCACTCTAAACAAAGCATACTGCCTGCCAGGGATGGCAGCATTTCTCAGTGTGGTGCTCTCACCCTTACATCAGTAGGATGCTGACTTAGACACGGCTTTACTCACCCCACCCCGACCTACTTACTGAATCAAACTCTCCAGAAATAAGGCTCAGGAATCTATATTGTAAAATGCATGCTCCAGGAAATTGATATGCTGCTAAAGTTTGAGAACCACTGCTGTAGGGGTCTACACAAGTGAGAAGGTGGCCAAGCCTGGAGGTCAGAGCTTGCGCAGGCTGAGGACGGCGCATGCACGCAGGGGTGGCCTTTCCACAGGTGTCCACGCAGGAGCAGCCAGAAGTGGAGGCTCAGAGCTGGGGTGCAGGATGGTGCAGCAATGGAAACAGGCTAGAAGGCAAGTGGTGAGTTGGAAGAGCAATTCACAACCTCATGGGAAGAGGAAGATTCTGCATGCAGGGATGCAGTGAATAAGCAAGGCTCATAAGGACACGGAAAAGGGCTAAAGGCACAATCAGAGGAAACTAGAATGATTGGGATTGGTTATGTTCACATGAACTCATGGCTTTCAATACTTAAAGACTCGATGCCGATGTGTGTGTGTGTGTGTGTACAAACATTTTTATTTAGTTATTTATTTTATTGCTAGCTTTTAAACTCAACTCTAACTCTTTAGTTCTTCTCCTCTCACATGTTATTATAAGCAATGAGTAAGGGGCCAAAATCTTCCCTAGATCCTAGATCAGGGGGTTCATTAGGTTCATTTCCTATTTTCTTTTTTTTTTAATTTTACGTTCTGGGATACATGTGCAGAACGTGGAGGTTTGTTACATAGGGATACATGTGCCATGGTGGTTTGTTGCACCCATCAACTCATCATCTAGGTTTTAAGCCCCGCATGCATTAGATTATTTCTCCTAATGCTCTCCCTCCCTTTGCCCCAACCCCCAAAAGGCCCCAGGTGTGTGATGTTTCCCTCCCTGTGTCCATGTGTTCTTGTTGTTCAGCTCCCACTTATGACTGAGAATATGTGATATTTTTTGTTCCTATGTTAGTTTACTGAGGATGATGGCTTTCAGTTTCATCCATGTCCCTGCAAAGGACATGAACTCATTCTTTTTTGTGGCTGCGTAGTATTCCATGGTTTACGTGTGCCACATGTTCTTTATCCAGTCTATCATCGATGGGCATTTGGGTTGGTTCCAAGCCTTTGCTATTGTAAATAGTGCTGCAATAAACATATGTGTGCATGTGTCTTTATAGTAGAATGATTTATAATCATTTGGGTGTATACCCAGTAATGGGATTGCTGGGTCAAATGGTATTTCTGGTTCTAGATCCTTTAGGAATTGCCACACTGTCTTCCACAATGGTTGAACTAATTTACACCTTACCAACAGTGTAAAAGCTTTCCTATTTCTCCTCAGCCTCACCAGCATCTGTTGTTTTCTGACTTTTTAATGATCTCCTTTCTAACTGGCGTGAGACGGTATCTCATTGTGGTTTTGATTTGCATTTCTCTAATGACCAGTGATGATGAGCTTTGTTTCACATATTTGTTGGCCACATAAATATCTTCCTTTGCTTCATGACTAAAACACCAAAAGCAATTGCAACAACAGCCAAAATTGATAAACGGGATCTAATTAAACTAAAGAGCTTCTGCACAGCAAAAGAAACTATCATCAGAGTGAACAGGTAACCTACAGAATGGGAGAAAATTTTTTCAATCTACCCATCTGACAAAGGTCTAATATCCAGAATCTACAAGGAACTTAAATTTACAAGAAAAAAAACAACCCTATCAAAAAGTGGAAGGATATGAAATTTCCTATTTTCTGCCTAACGACAAACAACAACATTGCGAAGTTTGCCTGCCACTACACCTTTACCTCCAACTTTCAGTAGTCTTCCTATGCTTTTATTTTTAATTTTAGAGACAAGGTATTTTTCTTTTCTGCAGGCTGGAATGCAGTGGCATGATCATAGCTCACTGCAGCCTTCAACTCCTGGGCTCAAGGGATCTTCTTGCCTCAGCCTCCTGAGTAGCTGGGACTACCTACAGGCACAACATTTTTTTGAGACAGAGTCTCTGACTGTCACCCAGGCTGGAGTGCAGTGGCACAATCTTGGCTCACTGCAACCTCTGCCTCCCAAGTTCAAGTGATTCTTGTGCCTCAGCCTTTGAAGTAGCTGGGATTACAGATGTGCACCACCACGCCTGGCTAATTCTTGTATTTTTAGTAGAGAAAGGGTCTGCCATGTTTTCAGGCTGGTCTTGAACTCCTGGCCTCATGTGATCCTCCCACCTTGGCCTCCCAAAGTGCTAGGATGATAGGCGTGAACCACCACATCCAGCCGGGCACTACCATTTTATAAGCCCTCACTGTCAGTCTCCTCAGGGTCCTTCCAGCTTCCACCCACTGCCTGGGCCCAAAGCCAGTGCCCCATGGATGAGGGTTTGTTGCACCAGCACCACTTCCAGGTATCAAACTTTGTTTCAGTTATCAGTACAAAAATAGTTTGCTTAAAACAACAGCAATCGCCGGGCGTGGTGGCTCACGCCTGTAATCCCAGCACTTTGGGAGGCCGAGGCGGGTGGATCACGAGGTCAAGAGATCGAGACCATCCTGGTCAACATAGTGAAACCCCTTCTCTACTAAAAATACAAAAAAAATCAGCTGGGCATGGTGGTGCATGCCTGTAATCCCAGCTACTCAGGAGGCTGAGGCAGGAGAATTGCCTGAACCCAGGAGGCAGAGGTTGCGGTGAGCCGAGATCGCGCCATTGCACTCCAGCCTGGGCAACAAGAGCGAAACTCTGTCTCAAAAAAAAAAAAAAAAAAGAAACCCAGCAATCATGTTACTATCTTGGCTGCATAATATTTGGGGTGTTATAGCGAAAAATTAGCAACTTTTGTTCAAATGGATTAAGAAAAGAAAATAGTTTTGGATACTGTACTTTCAGTTTCCCTGTATGTTTATTATTGTTTCAAAACAAATTATTCTTTAAAAAGACGATTGACTGAGCGTGTGGCACACACCTGTCATTCCAGCACTTTGGAAGGCTGAGGCAGGAGGATTGCTTGAGGCCAGGAGTTCAAGACCAGCTTGGGCAACATAGTGAAACTACATTTCTACAAAAATTGTTTTTTAAATTAGCTGGGCATGGTGGCACGCTACTCATGAGGCTAAGGCAGGAGGATCGCTTGAGCCCAGGGGGTCGAGACTGCAGTGAGCTATGATCCTGCCACTGCAGTCCAGCCAGGGCAACAGAGCAAGGTCCCATTTCTAAAAAATAAATAAATAAATAAAGATCGTCAACCTATTGTTGCATTTCCTTTGTAACAAATTTTTTTCCCCAGTTTGGACCTGGTCTTTGAATTATGTTTATACCATTTTTAGATATAAAGGAAATGTTAATGAAGTTAAAAAAAAGAAAAAAAAAGTGAGCCACAGCTCCTGCCCTCAAAGACACTGCAGCAAGTTTAGGGGTATGCATCGGGGAGAGGCAAGTCAGTAAACAGCACGAGCCAGGATGTGACGTCGCCTGTCAAATCTAGCTGGCTGTCACTTGCCTCAGTAGCTCTCAGCCTGCTCCATGACTAAAAATCTTTCCATGGGCAGACTGATTTCACAGGCTCACTCCATTTTGTGAACATTTCCTATAGAGATGCATAAAACCTTTCTTTACATTTCCTAATAATGGTAACCAGCCTCCACTGAACACTTACTCTCTGCGGGTGTTTTGTGTGTGGTTCATTGTCTCCTTCCCCACACAGTCCTATGAAGAGCCCCGTCAGCATTACCCCACGTGACAGGTAAGGACACAGACGTTTGTGAGTGCCAATAGCCTACGGGCATCACGGCTCATTAGCAGTTGAACTGAGATTCACACCAAGGAGCCTGGCTCAAGACTTGAGCCTTTAGCCACATGGGGTAGGGTCTACAGTCCCTGCCTTCCTACTGAGGTCCCAGGCACTGACTCCCCAGCCCTGGCTCTGGCTGATCTGAGCAGCTGTCAGTGCAAATGAGGCCTGGACTCTGGAGGTTCTATGACTTGGCCCACGATGCACCTCTCTGATAATAACAGCTTTACTGTGGTCTCTTTTTATTTCTGCAGGCACCCAGGGATGAGGAAGTGGCCTCGTCAGTATGAATGGTTCTTTATGAAGATGAGGGTAGAACATATCTGGCTTCAGAAATGGTATGGAGGCGTATCCGATATTTCAAGGGAGGAATATTTCAAAGCAGTTCCCAGAAAGGCCTGATGGAGTAAGAAGAAAGTCCTTAGTGTTTGCACTTAAATGAAAACCTTTTCAGTGATGAAGCCAGACAGCTATTGACCACTGTCTCTTTGTTGAAGGGTTCATAGCAGCCCTGCCATCCCTACAGCAGAATGAAAGAGGGGGAACAGGGAACTCTATGCTAGATGTGAGATTAAAGTGGTCATTTGCAGATCTCCAACTCACACGGATACTTCGCATAGATAGTCTTTATTCCGTTGTATTCAATACAGACTCACCTATTCAGAAATCGTATAATAGTGGTGGTCAAAATGACATGTTGAGATTGTTGCTGTTTCCTTCTTTAAGAAAAAAAACATGGCTGTATGTACAATGTGATTGCTGTGTATTGTGAGAGTACTTTTGTTGCTTGCGGTGCCAGACACAGTCTTGGTTCTAAGCTCACTGCAACCACGAAGGAGCTGACTGTGCATCACACAGCCACAACATTGTATTAGGGTGAGGGTGGAGGACTGTGTGTCTATGGATTACTCCTCCTGCTGGTGGATTGCAAATGCATTATTAAGTCATACTGGCTAGAATGTACCGGTCACTTATGCGGCTTTTTTCCCACCATAACGTGAAAACATTTAAGAACATAGGATGCTTTCGGCACAGCCCTTCTCTATGTAACCCGCCATGGCAGTGCATTAAAGAGGAACAAGTAGCTTCGACATTAAGCTTCCCAAAAGGTTGAGCTGCTCACACTTCTAGCAAGGGTTCCCCTCTCGCCTGCATGAACGGGGCATCCAGAATAAGAAGTGCCCCATTCTGTGGTGGAGAAAGAGGAAAGGGGAGAGGGTGAAGCTGGGAAAGTAAAGGCAGCACATTAGGGAAGGAAGAAAGGAAGCCGGTAACTGAGGGCCTGCTGCCTGCCCAGCCCTGGGCCAGGCCCTCCATGGAAGCCATCACATTTAAGCCCCGCAACCAATGAGAGGCACATCATCATTGCCTCTTACAGACAAGAAAACCGGACTCAGAGAGGTTGAGTCCACATCCCAGACAGCGCACTGCAAACACGGGTGGAGTGGTTCCTAGAAGACACCCAGTTTTAAGAAGGAATGAGTTATTGAAATGCACGGGTAGAAACTGAACCAGGAAAATCAGCAAAGTGATTGTAGAAGAGAAGGACTAGCCTGCCTAGAGACGATGTTTCTTGCTTTTGGAAAAAAAAGTGTCTGAAATTTGATTCTTACTACAGATTTAAACTTTCTACATATTACATGTAGGTGCTTCTAGTGTTTTCAAGAAATTAGACTGTACCTGTGTACACTTCTAAGGCCCACATGGACCTATGTATATATATATCTAAGACCTCTGATCATTAAAACCTATAAAGGATTGAGCTGTCCCAAGTATCCTGTCTTTCTGTAATGGCTATAAAATTTATTTTGTAGGTTAGGGAGGTTGTGTAACATAAAAACACATCACTATATATATATATATATATATATATTTATTTATTTATTTATGAAATACACATTTTTCATGTAAATAAAAGTCTTATTAATGATTATATACTTTTGCTTAACAAAATAACACACGATGAGAGTTTGAGTTGCCAACATATATTTTAAGTATCTATTGCTAAAAACATAGTAAGATGCAGAGATTTCTTTGTCATAAGCCAATCCTCAAGAGTTCCTAACAATGGTGATGACTAATATATAAGAATAAGGTACCTCTGAGGGAGCTTCATATTTTCAGAGTTTAAAATTATTGCTACTCCCAATTTAGAAAAAAGGGAGAACGCTGGAAGAACAAATGACATGCTCAAATGCATTGCGTAGGTCAACCTCAAACCTTAATACTTGGAGCTTCGCTACCTCCTGATCCTGTCTTACAGATAAGGTCCCCATGCTAGGTTTGTTTTATAGTCAGGTTCCATTTAGCTCATTAAAGGTCACTGCTGCTTCAAAGGGCTTTGCAGAGTGGATGCCATTTATAACCACTGACGAATGTTATCAGCTATTTATCCAAATTACAGGAAGTGAAACCTGAAAAGGTTGGATAAGAACCGTGTTGAAAATTCATAGTTTTAAGTTTGATGGATTCCATTCGGGCAAGTGTGTTTCAGCAAATCTCTAGAAATTTACATTGATTAAAATTTTAGCGGCTGTATTGGAAGTTCCAGACATGGCAATAAGGCAAGAAAAAGAGATTAAATGCACACAGATCAGAAAGAAAAAACAATGTATCCCTATTTAGAGATGACAGGATTTCCTACACAGAAAATTCCAAATAAACTATTTTTAAAAAAGAAACTAGAACTAGCAAGTGAATGCAGCAAGGTCTCAGGACACAAGACCAGCACACAAAAGTCAATTACATTTCTCTATGCCATCGATGAACATGTGCGGGGGGGGGAGCGAGGGGGGCTGAAAACACAATACCATTTGCAATCACTCCAAAGTGAAATATTTATGTATAAACAAAACTTACCCAGGACCTGTGTAGTGAAAATTTTTTAATGCTAAGAAAAAAAATTAATGATCTAAACAAAGAAAGAGAGATAGCACGTTCTTGGATTGGAAGATACAAAACAATAAAGAGATGGGTTCTCCCATCTTTATCTCTAGGTTTAATGCCATTCCTATCAAAATCCCAGCGAGGATTTTGTAGACCTATATAAGCTTATTTTAAAAGTTATTTGAAAAGGCACAGGCATTGAAATAGCTAAAACAATCTTGTAAAAGCAGAATAAGGTTGGAGAAATCATTCTATTTAATACAAAGAGTTATTATGTAGCTACAGTACTCAAGAAAGTGGTATTTGATGACCTAGAAACACACATTGATGGAACAGAGTAGGGAATCTAGAAGGCCCACACAAATAGGCTCAACTGACTTTTTTTTTTTTTAACAAAAGTACAAAATTAATTCAACAGAGGATAGTCTTTTCAATACACGGGAGCAAGTGGACATCCATAGGCAAAAAGAACCTTGGTCTAAACTTCATACCTTATACAAAAATTAACTCAAAAGAGAGCATATCTGTACACATAAAATGTAAAACTATAAAACTATGGAATATAGAAAATCTTTGGGAACAAGAGCTAAGCAAAGAGTTTTTAGACAATACCAACAACACAATTCATAAAAGAAAATTTGATAAATTAAACTTCATCGGAATTTAAAACACTTGCTCTGCAAAAGACCGTGTTAAAAGGCCGAGAAGACGGGCTACATACTGAGAGAAAATGTTTCCAAGTCACACATCCAACAAAAGATTAGTATCTAGAACATGTAAAGAACTGCCAAAACTGAACAGTTAAAAAAATTTTAATTAGAAAATGTAGCACATGTACAGACATTTCACTGCAGAGAATATATTAATGGCAAATAAGCATATGAAAAGATATTCAACAGCACTAGTCACTAGGGAACTGCAAACTAATACTACCATGAGCTATCACCACATACCTACCAAAATGGCTAAAATAAAAAAATGATGATAACACCAAATGCTGACAAGGATGCAGATAAACTGGGTCAGGCATATACCAGTGGTGAGAATGTAAAACGGAACAGCCATTCCGGAAAACCATTTGGCAATTTCTTATAAAACTAAACATACAACTGCCATACTGACCCTCCATTGCGCCCAGAATTTATCCCAGAGAAATGAAAAGAGGTTCACACAAAAGCTTGTGCAAGAACATTCATATCAGCTTTATTGATAATGTTCAAAAACTGGGAGCAATCAGATGGCCTTTAACAGGTGGCTGGTGAAGCAGTGGATGGTGCCCCCATGCCTGGAATACTACTCAGCAATAAAAAAAAGAACTAATTACTGACATGGACAACTACCGGCATGAATTCCAGAGAATTATTCTGAGAGAGTGGAGCCAATCGTAAAAGTGTGCACACTGTATGGTTCCATTTACATAACCTTTTGAAATGTAAAATGATAGGAATGGAGAATAGATAAGGGGTTGCCAGGGAGGAGTGGGGAGAACAAGAGAGTTGGGTGTAACTGTAAAAAGATAACACAAGAGATCCTCGTGGTGATGGACATGTTCAGTATCTTGACCAAATCAATGTGAAAATCCTGGTTGGAATATTGTAGTACAGTTTAGCAAGATGTGCCATTGGGGAAAACTAGGTGAAAACAGCATAGGATCTCTGTATTATTTCTTAACAACTGCATGTGAATCTACAATTATCTACAACTATCTCAGAATCTACAATTATCTCTGAGTAAAAAGCTTAACATAAACAAGATTTAAGGATTAGCTTAATAAAGCATTTATACTCTCTCTCTTATTAGTCCCTAATAAATGAGGAACTGAGCTATAGACTAAAATCTAGTACAAAGAGATAGTATTTCATTTGTTAACCGTTAATATATGCATTTGCTGAAGAGATGTAAAGTTTAAAATTTTTCTAAATATGTTCAATTTAATGTTAAATACAAATAATTATAATTCAGCAAATCTGCTGTATAGATTTTCAGTGGGTCACTTAGGAGGAGAGGACATCTTCAAATTTCTGGTATAAATATGTTGAGTAAGCTATAGGTATGTAGGCATCCAAGTCTATGTATAATGATTTTCCACTGATTTTATAGAGAAGAGCTATATTTCCAGTAATCTTCCTCTAAATATTGCAGAAAAGAATTCTGTTTTAGTGAATAAGCTAATTAAAGCCTATCCAGACCACCATGTTTTTATTTACAGTGACTGTACGTATCCATGATTTTGACATAGAGTATAATTCTGATGTTACTTGTTTCAATATGCCTTGTATATATTGGCTGTTTATAAGATAGTCGCTTTTTGGTTGAAAAGTATTTATGCTGGGTGAGGTGGCTCATGCCTGTAATCACAACATTTTGAGAGACCAAGGCAGGAGGATGACTTGAGGTCAGGAGTTCAAGACCAGCCTGGGTAACATAATGAGACCTCATATCTACAAAGAATGTTGTTTTTCTTTTTTGAAAAAAAAAGTCCCAGCACACATGTAGTCCTAGCTACTCAAGAGGCTATGGTGGGAGGATTGCTTTGAGGCCAGGAGTTTGAGGCTGCAGTGAGATATGATCATGCCATCACACTTGAGTGACAGAGTGAGACCTTGTCCCTTAAAAAAAAAGATATTTCTAAAATTTTTCCAAAACATCTGTATTTATTTAAATAATTGAACTATCAAATATTGTTCTGAAAATAAAACCTCTCTGGAATAATTTATTGATGCTTATTTGATTGCTATTACAGAGAGTCAATTATTGTAAAATTTGAGCTGTAATGACGTGATTGTGCCGTGTAATGCATGTAGAATGCAAAATCTGTTTTCAAAGCTAGATCTATTTAACCAAAGACTATTCCATTCCTGATATGATTTGTGTGTTTGATTAAATGAAATTATGATATGAATATATAGTCCTTTTATGTCATACTACAAATTACCATTGCTAGATTTCTAAAAAAAAAAAAAAAAAGACACAACTACAGAGAATCAGCAGTTAATTTTCCAATAGAAAAGAAAGAATTAGGCCAGGCACAGCGACTCACACCTGTAATCCCAGCACTTTGAGAGGCTGAAGTGGGTGGATCACCTGAGGTCTGGAATTCCACACCAGCCTGACCAACATGGTAAAACCCTGTCTCTACTAAAAATACAAAAATTAGCCGGGGGTGATGGTGGGTGCCTGTAATTCCAGCTACTCAGGAGGCTGAGGCAGGAGAATCACTTGAACTTGGAAGGTGGAGTTTGCAGTGAGCCGAGACTGTTCCATTGCACTCCAGCCTGGGCAACAAGAGTGAAACTCAATCAAAAAAAAAAAAAAAGAAAGAAAGAAAGAAAGAAAAGAAAAAGGAAAAAGAAAAGAAATAATCAGCTGGGTTACTTTTGTTGGTTTCTTAAGGCTCTGAGTAAAATGTACCTGATTTGCAGACCTGAAAATGCCAGTGTAGCCACACTTTGGTATTCCTACTCTTGAAATATTTGCCATTTTAAATGTAGTTGTTATTCCTGGAGTTCAGGGCTAGGAAAAAGCCCCATCCCACTGATGAAAAAACAGGCACAAGGGGTCACGCATGTAAAGTGTGGCAAGAAACGATGTGTGCCCACGAGGTCAATCCTGGGTAGCTTCCACAGACCACCTGCCAACACCCTGGCTTCTCCAGGGTATTCTTGTCCTCTGCTTAGGGTGACCAACTGGCCTGGTTCACCTAGGAATCAGGAGGTTCCTGGAACGTGGGACTTTCGGCCATAAAGTCAGGAAAATCCTAGCATACTGAGAGAGGTTAGTACCCCCCTCAATGCCACCTTAGTCTCCCACATCCTGGGCCACCCCCTGGAGCAGGCCATCTCCAGGGCGACCCACTTCTGACCACACACTCAGACATCTCCACCCACACTTCTGCCCTTCCAGCCTTTCTCCCCTGCCGCCAGAGCACTTGATCAGGAAAGTGGCCGACAGCAGGATGGAACTGCAGTGGAGAACACGGCCAGGCCCTGCACTCAAGATACGTATGGTTTCTAAACAGTAAGTAAACAAGCACATTTGGACCCCAGGTCATCGTTCTGTGGATTCAGTGTCCTGTCACTTCAGCCAGTATTCTCAACATCCCCACTGTTTTCATCAGAACCACGTGGCAAACTCCAGTCTGGATAAATTCAGCACTCATCTCTGCAGCTGCATAACATTCACAAGGATTGCTTCGGCCTTAAATCCAAAGGCTGCCATCCCTGACTAGGCCCTGCCTGTAGCAAGGCTCTCCCTGCAGCTGCCTTCCGCCCTCTCCCGTATGCTCCCAGAGACCTGGGCTCTCTCCAATGAGCACTCCTTCAACTCCCTGGAGAATTTCTCCAGTGGCAGAAGCCCCTTCCTCCTCCTACCTGCCCTGCTGGATGGTTTTCTGGAGCTGGGTTACTCTGCCTGGATGTGGGCAGGAGCAGGTAGAGACAGGTGTGATGGAAGAAGGGGAAACAAAGAGGCATTTAGGGTGTTTTCTTTTTTTTCTTCTTTTTTTGAGACAAAGTCTCGCTCTGTCACCCAGGCTGGAGTTCAATGGCATGCTCTCGGCTCACTGCAACCTCTGCCTCCCGGGTTCTAAGTGATTCTCCTGCCTCAGCCTGCCGAGTAGCTGGGATTACAGGTGCATGCCACCACACCTGGCTAATTTTGTATTTTTAGTAAAGACAGGGTTTCACCATGTTGGCGAGGCTGGTCTCGAACTCCTGACCTCAGGTGATCCACTCGCTTCAGCCTCCCAAAATGCTGGGATTACAGGCATGAGCCACTGTGCCCGGCCATTTAGGGTATTTTCTAAGAGTGGCTAGGGCAGGAAGGAAGATAGTGCAGGCAGCAGGCGGCTGTGACAGCTGTAGCAGGGGACCTGAGCCCACAATCTGGAAGGCGCAGCATTGTCCACAGAAAGACATGTGAACGCCCAGTTCCAGAGAGATGACAGCGATGACAAGGCCAGGCTGAGGCTGTGGCCACGGATGGTGGTGGTGACTGGGAACATGGTGCCCGGGGTGAGCCAGATGCGGGTCACAGTGAAGGTGAGCAGGAGGGGGCAAGGCCAGCAGGGAAGAGGAAAGAGGCTGACTGGGAGCCGTGGGGGTGCAGGAGGGTACTGCCATCCTGCTTGTCAGCTATTGCTAAGGGCGACCGGCCTGAGTTTTCAAGGAGCTGGGTTGTTTTGTGTTGCTTTACCAGAGGAGGAGTGATCTGTAAAGCACGAACACAGCTTTATGATAGACTAGCTTGAATCCACTGCTTCTTAGCTTTGTGAATTTCGGGAATGAGTGAATCCTTCGACTCTCAATTTTGCCTTGTGTAAAATCGGATAATTATTATGCAATACCTGGCATGCTATAAAGGTTACAGACATGGTGGCGTTATAGGAC